TTTGTAATCTTATTGCCTCAGCTTCTCAGAGTGCTGCAATTATAGGTGTGTACTGCCACTTCTGGTGGGGTAGAAGACTTTAAATTAGGGATTATTTTCTTTTTTTCTTATTTATGTATGTATGTATGTATGTATGTATTTTATTTTTGTTGCAGTACTGGGAATTGAACTGAAGGTCTTCACACTGAGCTATATCTCTAACCCTTTTTAATTTTAATTTCTAAATTTTGAGACAGTATCTTGCTAAATTGCTAAGTTACCCAGGCAGGCTCAAATTTGCTATCTTCCTGCCTCAGTCTCCCAAAATCCTGGTATTACAGGAATGCACCACCATTCCTTGCTGAGATGTAATTGGATACTGTCTCTTGGACATCAACTATGTTCTAAAATCTCCTAAACTGTACTCTTTCTCCCTTTCACTTTACAACTTTTTGGAAGTTAATATGAAAGAAACAGAAGAGCTCTTGATGGATTTAAAAGGAAGACACAACATAATCAGTTTTATAAATATCTAGGTGTCCCTCCAAAGCCTCGTGTGCTTATTGGTGGGACTTTTGGGAGTGACTGGACAATGAGTATGTGATACTAGATTATGGGTGTATGGTAACTAGATTAGTCCATGGATTGGTATAGCATAGTTTGGGGTATGGATAATAGGAAGACCCACCCTGGGTGTGTGGCACTAACCAATAGACTTGTGGCCTAAATGGAATAAAAGGAGAAAGAAAAGCTTGCTGCTTTCTGCTGTTGTGCCCAGATTTTGAGGTCCCCAAAGACCACCAAGGAGCCGATTCCAATGTAAACACGTGAGGGTCATTTATTCAAGCTCGAGCAGGGACTCCCAACTGTCACCGCTGCAGTGGGTCAAGATTGAGAGCCCTGACTCCAAATCAGCAGGGGTTTTTATAGTAGTTACAGCAAGGTTCTAGATTGGCAATTAAACCTGATTGGTTGTGCCTTGTGTACCCAAGCTGCAAACGGTTACACCTGGGACATTGGGGTAGCTGTTGCCAGGGGATGGCTGAACACTTATCACAAGCAGGTGGGCAAAGTACATCTTGTGGTTTTAGGTCTTACACTGCCTACCTTTCCATGGACTGATTCTCCTCTGCCATGCTGCCCTGTATTGGAGCCAGCCAACTATGGACTGAAACCTCTACAAACTGAGCTAAAATAAACCTTTCCTCCTTTAACTTGTGGGTGTCAGGTATTTTGTCCATGGGATGAGAAAGTAGCTAAGACAATCAGATGGGTTTGTGGTTTTGTTTTTGTTTTTTTTGGTTCTTTTGTTTTTGGAGACAGGGTCTCACTGTTTAGTTCAGGCTGGCTCTGAACTCACTATGTAGCCCAGGCTGGCCTTGAACTCACAGCAATCCTCCTGCCTCAGCCTCCCAAGTGCTGGGATTACAGGTGTGTGGCACTACCCCTGGCTAATTAGATGTTTTTGTTTTTTGTTTGTTTTTTGAGGCAAGGTCTTGCTAGATAGTTCAGGTAGTCTTGAACTCACTATGTAACCCCAGTTGGTCTCAAACTGGCAATGATCTTCCTGCCTCAGCCTCCCAGGTGCCAGGATTACAGTGTGCACCACCACTTCGAGTTTTCAGGCTGTTCTTGAACTCACTGTGTAGCCCAGCTCAAGCTTGTGGCAAGCCTCCTGCCTTAGTTTCCCGGGATTACAGGTGCGTGGCACCATAATCAGGTTTTTGTATGTTAATATTAGTCTCCTTGCCAGAGCAAGTATCAGAGGGTAATATTATTGGACAAAAACGTTTAGAGGATTCTTGTAATTGTTCGAGAGAGGGATGATATCTTAACCCAAGGCAGTGACAACAGAAACAGAGGGGGAAAGAATTCAAAACAGTGAAACTTTATTGTTCAGATTAAACATGTATGTTTACTTCTATTCCCACCAAGTTACATGGAAAAGTGATTACATTCATGGTGACAAAGAGGACAAGAGACAAATTTATTGCTGCTCATCAAACTGCAATGTGATTTGGACCTCTGTTATCAGGTTGAGAGAGTTTCTTTCTTTTGCTAGTTTAGTGAAAGATTTTAATCATGAATAGGAGTTTAATTTTAGCAAAGGCTCTTTCTGTGAGAATTGAGACTATCATGTGGTTTTTTTTCTTTATTCTGTTACTGTGCTTAATTATTCTGGGTTTTGAATTTTAAACTGACCTTGCATTCCTGGGGAAAAGCTTGCTTGTTCCTGATATGTTACTCTTTTTCTATATTGCTGGGTTGATTTGTTGATATTAGGTTAAGGATTTTTATGTCTACGTTCATGAGGGATATTGATCCAGTGTGTGCATGCGCGTGTGCATGAGTGTGTGTGTATGTCTTTGTAAATTCTTTGCCTGGCCTTCATACCAGGGTAATAGCCTCATAAAATGAGTTCTAAAGTATAATTGTTTTCTTCTGTTTTCTGGAAGAGTTTACATAGACTTAATATTATTATTTATTTCTTAAATCTTTGGAGGAATCCACAAATAAAGCCATCTGGACACGAATTTTCTTTAAGGAAAGAGTTTTTACCAAGATTTTTTTTTTTTTGTATTGGAGATTGAACTCTAGGTCTTCTTTACACTGAGCTACATCCACATCCTCAGACCTTTTTATTTTTTATTTTGAGACAATTTTTGCTAAGTGGCCCAGGCAGAGCTTGAAATTATGATCCTCCTGTCTCAGCCTCCCAAGTGCTGAGTTTGTAAAAAATATATATATGAGGGCTGGGGATTTAGCTCAGCGGCACTGCACCTGCCTTGCAAGCACAAGGTCCCAAGTTCAATCTCCAGTACCAAAAAAAAAAAAAAAA